AAATGCCACTAGAAGCAGCCGTTCAGGAAAGGATACGGTTTAGCGCAGTGAGAAGAGAGTAAGCAATCCTCAAAGCATATATACAGGCCTGGTGATGAGCTGGTGGAAAATATCATTTTGTTATTTACTTACTTGTTCAGTTTTGAACGAGGCTTATTACAGAATCAAGCAAACCGCAGCGTCTTACTTCCTACAAAAGACCAGTCGGCAGCGATTAATCGTGGGACCGCCAAATTACAGAAGTCTCTTCCAAAGTTTCTTACGGAAATCGTAGTTAAAGGTTTAATGATCGGTTAAGCAGTAAATGAGGCGTGTTTAATGCTTGGAAAGTGAACAGCAGTGAATAAACTAAAGCTTAGGGGTTTAGGAGGATAAACTTGTTTTCACAAGGCTGGATTATTTTTCTCCATTTTGACTGGAACATCTTCCTGAATTGAGAATTCTTCCCGTGATTTCCGTTATAAAATGACTGATAGCTGGATAATGAAGACAGGGATGAAAAACTGTCGTCTAAAAGCCCGAGTGAATGCATTATTGCCATCGGATTCTGTGACTTCTCACCTGAACCGCCGGTACAATCTTGTCGGGTCGGAGGCAACGAAGAATCACCAGACGATCCAATCCACGGGTCTTACTGAAGGGCTCGGGGAAGGTCATATTCTGTGGAGCGCTGTTGTCGTAAATAGCCTTCCACTCGTTGGTCCTCGTAGTTACAGCTGCCGAGGAGGGAGACCAGAAGATGAAGAGGAACCAAAGAGTGCAAACAGAGCGAAGTAAAGTTCTTTTTAAAGCTACAGTGGGTGACCTTGTAGCTGGCGCCCAACATTGCTGTGTCCGGCTTCCTTGGCTAAGGCCAACTGCCTCAAGGTCATCCACTATCCCAGGCAGTGCCTTCAGACGCATTGACCTGCAAACAGTGGGTGACTTTGAGGCAGTTGGCCTTGCACAGGGAAACTGGACACTGGAATTTTGGGCGCCGGCTACAACTTATGCAAAGTCGTGAGCAAACTTCAAATTGGGGGAAGGATTCCTCGCGGGGTCTTCGAAAGGTCCTTATATATTATAACCACCTACTTACAAATTTGAAGTAGGTTGAATTACCCACAATCTTCCTGTTTCTGTCTACCAGCCGTCGATCCAGCAGGGATTGGATGATGGCAGTGAACTGCAGAGGGGTCCTTGGAAGGCTGCCGCATTCAATAACCCCTTAAGTCAATAACTAAGCAAAAATGGCTTTTTAAATTAACCACGGGAATAATCGCCTACTTAAATTTTTAAGTAGAGTCAATTTCCCAAATTCTTCAACTTTCTTCACTCGTTCGGCTTTATTCTAGTTGGGGTTAGTGGTACTACTAAAAAATGTACCTTAATGACCTCGACCGAGGTTGGAGCACACTTCCCTGACATACACGCCTTCACCGTTATTCCGGTGGGGGTTAGCGATTATATTTATGTGCATTTCAGTGTCCCCGCCCGAGGTTTGAGTACGCGACCCAACTTACCCTCGTACCTTTCTTATTTTACAGGATTATTGCGATCTATTTTGTTCCCTGACATGCCCCGCCCGTCCCGTCCCTCCCCTAAAATCAGGAGCCCATAAGACCGACGGGCGCGCTTAGCGCTCCCCCCATGCGGCCCTACGAGGCATTCCTACCCAATTCAGTAGTGAAGCGTTGGATGGACTTGATACTCAAAAAGCCCTTTGATATAGGAGAATGCATGTTCGTTCTTTATACGGAAGAAAAACCGGTAGGATTTTCCTTTAAGCTTTAAATTCGCTCAAGGTTGTTCATTATTATTTCAAAGTCAACTTTTCAAAAATATTTGGAAGCTTCGTTAGGCCGCACCTGGAATTCGCTATAAAGGCATGGAGACCTTGGACTGTCAAAGACTGTACCTCTTAGAGAAGGTCCAGAGACGTGAGACAAAAATGGTCAAAGGTCTGGGAACACTGCCTATGAAAACAGACTGTCAACCCTCGATCTATTTCTCCTTTCCTACAGGCAACTTCGAGGGGACCTCATCATTACCCTCCGTATTATGAATAACCTGGATTTTTGCTTCGTCGCCGACGATTTGTTTTTCTCCAGGCTAATACGCCAGCTTTGCACGGGCATCCTCCCAAACCACACTTTCCGTTAAGTTACAGACAGCTACGTGGCGATCCCATACAAATATTTCGTATAATGCGCGGTCAGGACTGCTGTCCTCTACCTAGCGAGTTCTTCCAGTTAGCAACAACGACGAACTTAATAGGGCATCCATTTAAACAACGTGTGATAGGGGCCTGACTAGACACACACAAGTTCTTCTTTGGTAACAGAGTATTGAAACTTGGAATGCTCTGTCCGCGGACATTGTTATGTCTCCATTTGTGGACACAATCAAGAGGAAGTTAGACTGTATAGCCACCACGTCCTCTGAAATTAACATTGGTTACGTCAAAGGACTTCGCCGAGTAATAACATGTTCAAAAAACACACTACTCACTACTTTTCAGTGATATTTTTGTTCGGAATAACTACCACACACTTTATAAGAATTGCAAGAATCGCATCCACCGAACCTTGTGGTCCTAGGACACGTCTAAGACTAAGTTAGACCTATATAGTCACCACGTCCTCTAAAATTAGCTGACGGTTACCTGAAAGGACATCGCGGAATAATCACATGATAAAATACATCCTTTTCACTACTTTTCAATAATATGTTTGTTTAGAAACTACCGTCTGTCTTGAATCGTGGTGTGGCCCTCTGTTTCGTCACGTGGTCGGCAGACTCGGTAACCAGCAAGGGTGTATGACGGACGCATCTGCGACACCAGTGACGTTCTCGTGACTTACGCAATCTTCTCCTCGTGTGACCCTTAGGACTATGACAAAAACCGCGATGGGCTCCTCCTGACATGCTTCAAACACTCTCAATACAAGCATCCGATTCGAATATACTCTCTCCCCTTTGAATCAATATATTTTTCCTATAATATTGTTACCTCTAGGGAGTTCAAAGGGGTTCGACTATCTTTCCTTCAATAAACTGATACTGATACTTACTGTGGAAAAGAAAAAACTATTCCTTCAGGTCTCCTTTCGAGGGGACGCGGCAGGTGAACTCTTGGCAAAAACGCCTTGATCAAGCCGTGTCAAGAACCTTCCCAGCAGCGGGGGTTCGAGTATTATTCTCAACCAACCCGGTCTTACATGGGCAATAGTTTACCACCTCAGACCACCTCCTGTGGAGCAGGTTATATCGGTCGCACGAGTCAGCACCTATGACTTAGAAAAGGTGAAGTCAGGAGTATAAACAGCTCTGTACTGTTTTATACAACTCTCACTTGTCTGACGACGATCTGGTGAGCCAGTGTCGAAAATTCGCACATTGAACTATCGCTTCCCAAAGGGCTTCTACCAAAATAAACAGCT